TGCTCAGAGCGCCTGACGTGGCGTGTCTGTGCTCCCCTTCGGTTTAACCGCTCCAACGCGTCTTTGATGCAGAAAAAAAAACACATTTTCAGGCGGTTTTAGGGCCAAACGCCTCTTCCATCTCGATTGGCAACCCCCACTTTGTGTGTTTTGCAGCAGCTGAGGGATGTGTTTATGTGATACCCTTTATTATCTGCTCGAAATAGCTCCGGAGGCCAAGGGGAGGGGTGAGCCTGGTTTGGGAGAAAAACACAGTCTGGCTGCTGGGGGAGGGAGAAACTGGAAGCAGAGTCAGGGGAAGCTGAGCCAGTTCCTCTGCCCCGCTGTCTGCTCTGGAATGTACCCCAAAACCCGAGAGTTTTGCCCCTGCTCTGCCTCCTGGGATGGAACAACCCCAATCCCTGATGGCACTGTCAGCCCCTGCTCCTGTCTGTCCATCCCAGCATCCTGGAGGAGACTAGGACACGCAGTGTGAAACTCACAGCAGGACAATGCCATGTCCCCCAGGATCACCGAAGGACTCCAGTCATAGCACCCCCAGGAAAACAGGATTTCTTTAGGAAGCCCCCAGACTTCTCTCTCCTGCTCTGCATGCTGTTCTTCCCCTGTCTGGGCCTTCCTGCAACAACCACCACAAAGAGCCTACTCAACAGCCCAGCATCCCCCAAATCCCAGCTAAAGATGCAGCTCCACGGCCCATTTTGTGTCCTGGTCCCCAGGGATGTGCGGCCAAACACGTCCCCTGTCATCACCCACCAGCACAGACAAGGAACAGCAGACCCTGCCAGAGCTGAAAAGAGGTGAGACTTCATGGAAGATTCCCTTCTCAGAAGGGGAGGTGGGGTGGAAGGAGATGGGCAACAAACCACAAGCTCCATCATGGGTTTTATTCAGCAAGAAGGAATTTCAACAGCAAAACCACACACACAAGGAGCCAATGGCCTCGCAGCTCTGTGCCCTTGCATCCACCAGCTCTGCACTCCAGCTGCTGGCAGTTGGGAGCCCTGTTTAATTAACCCAGACAGCAATCAGCTCTCAGACACAGTGCAAGCAGCCACTGTGTCTGTGCTCCCAGGATTCAGTCCCTTATTCCCAATCACGTCCTTGTGTTGCCCAAGGAGGGGAGGATTCCTGTTGAAACAGGAATCTGTCTAATAACACAGATTTCGGTGGTTCTGATGGGGAGAGACAACAGGGAGGCACAGCAGCCTGCAATCAGCTCTCTAACAGCCAATCCACCTGGGTTAATATCCAAAGGTATTTCCCTGCCTGCTCCTGTGGACATGCAATGTCACACCACCTGGACTCTAAGGCCTGAGGCAGACCCCGTATGACCCACGAGGAGTCCAGTTAGGCACCAGTACAAGATGGGATTTCACCACTGCACACGCCAAACCTACCCATGGGCTGCTCTGTAAGTCACAGCTCAGCTCCAGTCCAGGGTGGCCCCCAAGACTTGGAGCCTTGATCTTCCTGGAGAGGGTGGGATTTACCTACACAGCTCTAGAGCTGCAGAAAGCCAAGGCAATGATTCGTTCTGGTGTGTTGTAAACCAGCTCTGCTCCCTCCTCATCCCATTTGGAGCATCAGTACTGGAGCACTGCTGCCAGAGCCAGCTGGCAAAGGCACGGCAGCACTTGCCACCCTTCCACTGAATCACAAACAGCAAAAAGGGTCAAGTTTTGTTCACAGCACAGGGAGGTGCCACTCGGCCTCCCCCAACAGAGGGGTGCCAGGAGAAAGCTCAGCCTCTGGTCCGTGGTGGCTGGTAGCAGAGCCACACTGTGCTGGCAGGGAGGAGACAGAGCATGGCAGGGGACAGCTGCTGCCTGCCAGCGGGGAGCCCCCGTGTCCCCCCGAGCCTGAGCTCTCACACCCGAACAGCCGGGGGGGGGAAGATGCCCATCTCCTCCCGCAGGGCCTGCAGGGGCTGCTCCCAGCGCTGCTCGTAGTAGATGTTCAGGATGCAGCTGGAGTTGCGCCCGCTCCGGATCGCCCAGGGGACCAGCTCGGTGGCCAGGACCTGCAGCTTTCTGGAACAAACAAAGTGACAGGTTTCATCTCCACGCTTTGATTTCATTGCCCAAGTTCCCATTGCAAGCAGATGTGTGTCCCATGTACCCCTCCCACTCTTCTAGCATCCTTCCTGCTTATCTCACAGGGGAAACTGAGGCAGAGATGAGGACAGTGTGCCAGGAAGGTTATAGCTGGCAGCAAATCCAAGACCATGGGTTCTGCACTCCCCAAACTGCTCTGCCACCAAAGCAGAGGAAGGGCCACAGGGGTGGTACGGGTCCTGCTGGCTCTCAATATGTGCCCAGCCAAGGGCAGCCAGGCCTGGCCATTGCTCCTCCCACCTGGCATGGGATAGTCAGAGCTGGAAGCAGAGGAAGATCCTGCTCCAGCAGCCAGGCAAAGCTGTGCCTCCCACCTCACTGCTTCCCTGGTCTACAGGGGCAGAGCAGACAGTTCACACAAGGGATCCCCCTCTGACTCTCCTCTGCAAACTAGCAGTGTCCCCAGTTTGTCCTCTGAGGACACCTCAAAGCATCACCCAGGCTGGTGCAGGGCAGAGATGCCCTTCTCAGGGGCACCCAGCACCTACCGTGCGCTGAGACGGACGGGGCCAAACGCTGCTCCCAGGATACACATGGGCAGCCCTGTCTGGATGGCTTCAAACCACTTCACCACCACCTCACCTGGGAGGGAGCAGGGAGGCTGTGAGGAGGCAGGACACCTGGGCTGAGGGGCAGCCCTGGCCACACAGCCACTCAGTGAAGGCTGCGTGATCCGGCCCTTCCCAGGGATGGCTACACATCCATTCCCTCCACCTTCCAGACAGGATTGGGAATGCTTCCCAAGTCTGTACATGGCTTCATTCCATTCCAGGATGAGCTTCATCATGCACCACCCACCCGAAAGGGACTGCCTGAGGCACCTGGGAGTGCAGCACCCAACACTTGATGGCCCACAAGCTTGGGAAACACTTCCTGGGCAAGCTGGTTCCCTCAGATCTTAAGCAATCCAACCAAAGCCTGAGCCCTCAGTGGCTCTGCCCATCTCTCAGCACAGGACAGACCTTTCAGAAATGCCACCAGGGCTCAGCCAAAGCCTGCGTAGGAGACCTGACACACCAGTTCCTGCAGGCTCCCAGCAAGGCTTGACTTGCAACCTGCTACTGAGTCAGAACACAAAATGAGGGCAAAGGACATGGGGACAGGCAGATAAGGAGCCACCAAGAACCCCCCACTTCTGCCGTTGCTCAGAGCTTGCGAAACATCCCTCCCTCGGTGCCACCCTCCCTGCCTGGCAGCAAACACCCACCCCAGGGGCTGCTGCACCCAGGGCTTGGGCAGAGCATCTCCCAGGTGGGGAAGGGTGACGTCCTGTGGGCTCTCAGCCACCACTGAGCCAACAATGATCCAAACCTCCCCACACAGCTCCAGGGCTGAGGATCGGGGAGTCTAACCAGCCCAGCCTGCTCCGTTCTCAGAAGTGGCTGAGCCACCAGCAGGGCATGGCAGGAGCCCTTGGCACCCACTGCAGCTCACCCAGCATGTTGGTTGGCATGCCCAGGAGGGTGTGCATCAGGTCGTGGACTTCACGGTATCTCTGGATCACGTAGGCCAGCTCTTCATCATCAACAAACTTGGGCGGCATCCGGGTGTCGGGAGAAACCTTCTGCAAATCCAAAGGGATCCCCTTCAGCCCCTTCCAAAACTCAAGCTCCTGGTCTCATTCTTTAACGTACAAGAAATATGTGGCCCCCTCTATCAGCACATCTCCCAGTCCTAACGAAGAGGGTCAGTGCCATTTACACACAGGAGAACCAAGGACTGCACACCACTGGTGACAAAGTCAGCATCACCCAACACCCAGCATCTCATCCTGTCCCTTGACTCCCTCCCATTCCCAGAGGGTTCCCCATAGGTTCCTCCAGGGTTCCAATCTCCCTCTAAAGCTCATCCCTGCTCCTGGCACAGGGATCAACCACAGGTACTTGCACCCTGTGAAGCCCCACACTCACGTTGTCCTCCAGGAACCGGACATACTCTCTGCCCAAGGAGCCCTCTGGCAGCCCCTGCAGCCTGGCCATGTCCAGTGTGGAGAGACGGATGCGAGGCCTTTCCCTGAAGGCAAAACACAGGTTAGTGAGTCTCCCAGTGAAGCCCACAATAGGGGGTCCTGGAGAAAAGGAACCCCCTGGAAATCCCCATCCCCTGCCTCTGCCCTTCCTGAGCATTTTCCTTGCTCGGCTCCTGATTGTTTCCTGCAGGGATAGCACCAGCCTTATTTCTGTTGCTCAGGTTGGGCCACAAATTGCTGAAAGGATCTAACTGAAACCTCAGCAGTGTAAGAGCTCTCATCTTGCACCCTGTAAAACTCTGGTTGGAAAAACACCAGTGCCCCCTGCCAGCCAGACACAGCCCCCAGCAATAGCTGGCCCTGAGGGAGCAAAGCTCTATAGTATCTTTGCAAATCAGCCAGAGCTTCAAAGGAACAACCCTAAAAAGGGGAGGGAATTTCTTCTAAACACAGGTTTAACCTCTCTCCTGCTCAGGCTTTCATCACCAGCCACGTGGCAGCCACACACAGCAAGGTGTCCTCTCCAGGTTGTTGGCAAACAGGTGCCCCACAGCCCTGGAACTAAACAAAAGCTCTTTTATTTCCATGCACAGGATAAATTCTTCCCATGATAAAAGCCCCAAAGAGGATCCAGGAGCTGCTCAGCTGCTGGAGCAGAGGTGCCAGGGAGATAAGCAGGACTAGCACCAGTTTCACCCTGGCTGTAGGTGTTTCCTTGTGTATTTGGTGTCAAATGGACCTTAGCATGTGCAGGGATTAGGAAAAAAACAACACAAAAACTTGTGTGCACAAATCAGACCCCTGCAAATCTCTGCAACCACACGGGGGATGGAGATCTCTCCCCAGACTCATGAAGTCCCTCCTGATCCTCAGCCTTGCTGTGCTCAAAACATCTCCATGGACATGGAAAGAAAAGTGATCGAGTCTTAATAAGGAAGACAAGAGTAGTGGCCTCATTTCATAGCTTGGGAAGAGGCTGCAGGCACTGAAAAAGAAAACATGGAGGTGTCCAAGGAGGCAGCTTAGTGGAGACAAGGCCTCCAACACAAGGAGATGCAGCAGCAGGTGCAGGGGAGAAATCCATGGGCTAGCTGGGTTGAGCAGTGATGAAAACCCACCAGGCCCATGGATTTCTCCCCTGCATATCTCCTTGCCTTGGCACTTGCCAGTTCCAGCAGTGAAGGAGAACAGCCAGGCAGGAGCCTGTGAAATAGGGCTGGGCCCAGCATCTGCTGTGCCTGTAGACTGGCCATGCAGCTCTTGTAAATCATTAAAAACAGATCAAAATAAGCAACCTGAAGTGTTAGAGCTAAAAAAATGCTGGTGCTGCTTTCAGGAGCAGAGCTTTCCCTTCATGGAGCCCAAGGAATGTGCTTGGTCTTGTGTCTCCTGACCCCCCAGGAGCCACGGGGTGAGGGAGGGGTGAGGAGGGACGCACTGGAGGATGAGGTAACCTTCAGGGTGGTTTTTCATCTTGTCTCGCAGGTTGGGCAGGGCAAGGCAGCCCGTGGTCTCCCCAAGGACTGCCACCATGTCTGCAAGAGAGACCAGAGAATGACCCAAGAGCAGTTTTCGTAACACCCGGTTGTCCTTGGTTGGCAGGTGAGGAAAGGTGGAAAGGAGCAGGACCAGGAGCAGGCAGGAAGCCTGTGGCAAAGCACTGACCCTACAGACCGTGGATCTCCAGCCTGGGGGGGCTCTGGCCTGCTGTCACCTGCAGGAAGGGATGCAGGAGCAGCCATGAGGTCTCAGGGACCAAGGAGAAGGGAGATGGCACTGAATGGTCAGGAGATCACTAGGGAATGTCTGGGGTTCCTCACCCCTCCTCTTCCACCTCTCCCTGCCCCGGACCAGGTCTCAGCCCTGCACTTGCCCCTTTACAAAATGTCTCACTCAACAGGAGGAGAAATAAAGTCCCCTGAGAAACTCTCAGGGGACACGGGGCAGGATTTGCTGGCGGTGAACAAGGCCCTGGCTGGAACGAGCCCTCCTCGCTCGTCTTACCGTGTCTGTAGGGGTCACAGAGAGCCACGAGCGCCGAGCCGGCCGCCAGCAGCGCCTTCTGCAGCGGGCTGGTGGGGGTGTTCCCCGGGCACGCGCG